CTAGGTAACAGGGGGGCATAGGGTGAAAGAAACTCTGCCCATTGTTTCTCTCCGGCGCCCGGGATCGAACCCGGGACCACAGGATCACAAGCCCAGCGCGGGGTGTCCGCTCGGCACCCCTGTTGCAAAGCTTACGGTAATTCTATATATTCTTTTAGCCCCAAATAATAGACAATTTTCGGATCAAAAATATTTCTCTCGATTTGTCCATTTATTAATTTATTTTGACTACCAGTTCGGAATTATAATTATGAAGGCGACTTTTCAGCGAGACTTTGAATATTGTGTCGTGCTTAATTAATTGATTTTGTCGGGGCAGGAAGCCTGGGTATATATTTATTTAAGGCTTGTATCGAGCTACTGACCCTCGCCACCTTCCCCCTTAGGATGCAACACCACAATAGTGGCCAAGCTCCCGCGGACCTATTGACTGATTGGTGAACAGATGCATTAGGTGACTATGTATATTTTAATTCTTGACGATGATTGGGTGTGAGTGAGAAGCGTCATTCTTGTTATATATCAAGCGCGTTGGTTCACTCTCACATACACTCTCAAATACACTCTCACATACACTCTCACATACACTCTCACATACACTCTCACATACACTCTCACATACACTCTCACATACACTCTCACATACACTCTCACATACACTCTCACATACACTCTCACATACACTCTCACATACACTCTCACATTCACTCTCACATACACTCTCACACTCTCATACACTCGAATATTTTATCTCAGACCAGGAGTGACTTTATCAAAAACCTGGAACCCATTATGCCAAGTTATTCAGACCTTAAAGGCAGTTAACAATGAAATTTTTGCTGGATAAAATTACCATCTAAATCCTGTTCCAAGTTCACAGGTTCCACCCTCATCCAAACAAGCGAGACGCTCGTAAGGGGGTAGTTACACACACACACACACACACACACACACACACACACACACACACACACACACACACACACACACACACACACACACACACACACTTTCCTGTGACATGATAAATATTATGATCTGTATTATGTAGTTATTATGTGCTTCATGTTGCCATTATGTACTGTACTGTGATTACGTAATATGCTGCTGTTATGTAATATGCTGCTATTATGTAAGGTGCTGCTATTATGTAAGATGCTGCTATTATGTGATATGCTGCTATTATGTAATATGCTGCTATTATGTAATATGCTGCTATTATGTAATATGCTGCTATTATGTAATATGCTGCTATTATGTAATATGCTGCTATTATGTAAGGTGCTGCTATTATGTAAGATGCTGCTATTATGTGATATGCTGCTATTATGTAATATGATGCTATTATGTAAGATGCTGCTATTATGTAATATGCTGTTATTATGTAATATGATGCTATTATGAAAGATGCTGCTATTATGTAATATGATGCTATTATGTAATATGCTGCTATTATGTAATATGATGCTATTATGTAATATGCTGATATTATGTAATATGCTGTTATTATGTAATGTGCTGATATTATGTAATATGATGCTATTATGTAATGTGCTGATATTCTGTAAGATGATGCTATTTTTTTATGCTGCTATTATGTAATATGCTGCTATTATGTAATATGCTGGTATTATGTAGATGCTGCTATTATGTAATATGCTGCTATTATGTAATATGCTGGTATTATGTAAGATGCTGCTATTATGTAATATGATGCTATTATGTAATATGATGCTATTATATAATATGCTATTATGTAATATGCTGCTATTATGTAATATGCTGCTATTATGTAATATGCTGTTATTATGTAATATGATGCTATTATATAATATGCTATTATGTAATATGCTGCTATTATGTAATATGCTGCTATTATGTAATATGCTGCTATTATGTAAGATGCTGCTATTATGTAATATGATGCTATTATGTAATATGCTGCTATTATTTAATATGCTGCTATTATGTAATATGATGCTATTATATAATATGCTATTATGTAATATGCTGCTATTATGTAATATGCTGCTATTATGTAATATGCTGTTATTATGTAATATGATGCTATTATATAATATGCTATTATGTAATATGCTGCTATTATGTAATATGCTGCTATTATGTAATATGATGCTATTATGTAATATGATGCTATTATGTAATATGCTGCTATTATGTAATATGCTGCTATTATGTAATATGCTGCTATTATGTAATATGATGCTATTATGTAATATGATGCTATTATGTAATATGCTGCTATTATGTAATATGATGCTATTATGTAAGATGCTGCTATTATGTGATATGCCGCTATTACATAAGATGCTGCTATTATGTAATATGCTATTATGTAAGATGCTGCTATTATGTAAGATGATGCTATTATGTAATATGCTATTATGTGATATGCTGCTATTATGTAATATGCTGCTATTATGTAATATGCTGCTATTATGTAATATGCTGCTATTATGTAATATGCTGATATTATGTAAGATTATGCTATTATATATGCTGCTATTATGTAATATGATGCTATTATATATGCTGCTATTATGTAATATGATGCTATTATATATACTGCTATTATATAATATGATGCTATTATATATACTGCTATTATATATGCTGCTATTATGTAATATGATGCTATTATATATACTGCTATTATATATGCTGCTATTATGTAATATGCTGAAGAGTTAACGCTGGTAGATACAGAAACACAACGAATGAATAATAAAAAATTACTGTACCAAGTAGAACGTGAATAGTGAATCTGGAGTCAGCAACGGTAAGCTGTAAATTCATTAAATATTCCTATCTCTGTGCTGACACATTAAAGATACAAGTCAATCGACTTGAGAATGGTCCAGGACGGACCGAAACGTCGTCGTCCCTTCACCTTCTAGTGTGTGGTCTGGTCAACACAATCGACTTGAGAATGGTACAGGACGGACCGAAACGTCGTCGTCCCTTCACCTTCTAGTGTGTGGTCTGGTCAACACAATCGACTTGAGAATGGTCCAGGACGGACCGAAACGTCGTCGTCCCTTCACCTTCTAGTGTGTGGTCTGGTTAACATACAAGTCAAAGCTTATAATTAATCTCCTGGCATGTATAACATCAAGCTATTCATGTCTGATAATTTATTAGGTCAATTGATGCACAATAGCAGGTATCAACGTAATTTTGCCAGTCATTCAAACATCAAATTCTCACTGCTAACTCATCCACAAGAACTATATTGAGCTTCACTGGGACGTAAACATACGAGAGTATAGTTGATAACATAGTTAACAATGTTAATGAAATTTATAGCAAATAATTGATAGCAATGTTGGTAATTAAAGATCTCAACCAGTCTTTATTTACGTCACTTACCAGTATCGTAGTGTGAGCAGATAGGTTTATTGCTGTAAATCGTTCTCTATTTCGTGTCTTGGTCTAAACTGTTTCTTTGACCATTTATCGTACTAAAGCAAGTTTTTTGGGGTTTTAAGTCTTTTTGTCCTATAAGCCTCTGGACTGGGGTTATTATGGCCACCACAGTACCTTTACTGACCAACCAACAAGAATACTTTATAGTTTCGGACTTTTGTTCAGGATAAAACACTTGAGTGTATCATACAGCGTGTATAGTGAGGTTATACTTCTCGGTGTATATCTCTCTCTAGATGCACAGAACAGCTTCGCGTGGCTCTATATGATGGAGTTCAACCACAACACTCTGTCACACCGTCAACTAAATAACTACCGAACATATTGACCCGAAATTATAAGAATTGGAACCTCAGCCAGCGGAGCCCTGATCGCGCGATGGGCTAGTTTAAGCAGTTAGTCCGACACCAAAACAAAGGTGTTGCCACAAGGATTATATTCACCGACAAGTGTATATATATATACACAGTGAATATGCGCTAGGTGTATATATATATATACACAGAGTGTGTTCTAGTGCTGGTGCTTATTCAGGACTAAGGTATACTTGATGATTGGTCAGTATATGACAGTGTTAAGGCCATATACTGTGTAAAATATCCACCCGTTCTCAAATCAGACGCGTTTAAACAACGTCTCCTCTACCCTCCCCCAAGACGTATTCGTCAATTTTAAATTATATTAAAAATAAATTTGCTCGTGTATATATATTATTATTATATATTAAAGTTCAGTGCGTACAGTAGTTAGGCGTAGCTTAGGTTTAGTTAGGTGTTTAATTTGATTACTGTATTTGTATTTTTAGTACGTGGGTGAAGCATTTACTGCGTTGTGGTCCGAACAGAGGTCATCAGCGAAGCACTGTTCGAGAATGTTTCACGATGATCCACATTTCGGTGGAATTTCCAGAAATATGAATTTTATTACAAGTGAAGAATGATGATTTTTAAATAATGTTAATAAGAATATTATATTAATAATGATAATAATAACAAAAAAATTAACAATAATATTAATATTATTGTGAATATTAGTATTATTACACAATTTTGAATGCGAATAAATGAGGCAGTAGAAAATGTAATGGAAATATAAAATACCTATTTTTTTCGTTTCTCAAGAGGAAATACGGTAGGGTCAGTGTCGTATGCAAATTAGATGAATATATATGACCAAAACATTCTTGCACGATCCCACTACAGCCTCCGCCCCACACCTAGTCCAAGCGAAACGGAAACAGTAACATATATATATATATATATATATATATATATATATATATATATATATATATATATATATATATATATATATATATATATATATATGTTATCAAATGCATTAAAACCAATAACAATTTCACCGATAATGTTGATATAGGAAATTATAATACATTAACAATGTTAATTTTAGACGCAGGATTAGCAGTAATGTATTCTCCAATACCACTCAAACAGAGGAATAACTTACACAGAATGAATACATCACTAACAAAAATCAACAGATTTAAACGCATACACATCTAGACTGAATACAATGCCATCACTAAACAGATGAATAACATCACTAAACAGAGGAATAACATCACTAAACAGATGAATAACATCACTAAACAGAGGAATAACATCACTAAACAGATGAATAACATCACTAAACAGAGGAATAACATCACTAAACAGATGAATAACATCCCTAAACAGATGAATAACATCCCTAAACAGAGGAATAACATCCCTAAACAGAGGAATAACATCACTAAACAGATGAATAACATCACTAAACAGAGGAATAACATCACTAAACAGAGGAATAACATCACTAAACAAAGGAATAACATCCCTAAACAGATGAATAACATCACTAAACAGATGAATAACATCACTAAACAGAGGAATAACATCACTAAACAGAGGAATAACATCCCTAAACAGATGAATAACATCCCTAAACAGAGGAATAACATCACTAAACAGATGAATAACATCACTAAACAGATGAATAACATCACTAAACAGAGGAATAACATCACTAAACAGAGGAATAACATCCCTAAACAGAGGAATAACATCACTAAACAGAGAAACAACATCACTAAACAGATGAATAACATCACTAAACAGAGGAATAACATCACTAAACAGATGAATAACATCACTAAACAGAGGAATAACATCACTAAACAGAGGAATAACATCACTAATCAGATGAATAACATCACTAAACAGAGGAATAACATCACTAAACAGAGGAATAACATCTCTAAACAGATGAATAACATCACTAAACAGAGGAATAACATCACTAAACAGAGAAACAACATCACTAAACAGATGAATAACATCACTAAACAGAGGAATAACATCACTAAACAGAGGAATAACATCACTAAACAGATGAATAACATCACTAAACAGATGAGTAACATACACATGTAATGCATGAATGCAGCAGACAGTGAATGCAACAAAATATTAACCACCATTAACCGCTGAGTAATGTACCCACACTTCCTTCCATTAGACGCAAGCCGACCATGACGGCATTAACCTCAAGGTGTCTTGGAGACTTTCATCTTGTGATTAACCACAATATTGGAAAACTAGGAAGGAAATTGGCAGTCCTGGTGGGAACTATGGTCGTCCATTTTCAATTTATCTCTCTGTCTGTCTCTCTCTCTCCCTCTCTCTCTCTTTCTCTCTCTCTCTCTCTCTCTCTCTCTCTCTCTCTCTCTCTCTCCCTCTTACCCCATCTCCCTTTATCTTCATTTATTGACCGCTAACCACTCATGTACGTGATGTTTAATAACTAAGTTAAGTGTTGGTCTTAAGGCCTGTCAACCTCTAAATGATTATTATTGGCTATCAACCTCTAAAGGATTATTACTGGCTATCAACCTCTAGAGGATTATTACTGGCTATCAACCTCTAAATGATTATTATTGGCTATCAACTCTAAAGGATTATTACTGGCTATCAACCTCTAAAGGATTATTACTGGCTATCAACCTCTAGAGGATTATTAAGGCCTACCAAGCACCGAAGGAATATTAAGGTATCACAAATGCTTACTGATTATCATTAATTTATCTTTATTATGCACCCCATACCCATCCCGTGGGCATTGGTGTAAAGGATTGCAGAGGCACATAATCGGTTCAGGAACTGAACTCTCTAGCTCGTTTAGCTAAGCAAATAATTTTTTTTTGACGCTAGTTACAAAATTATTAATGTTATATATACATGTACACATTCTCATACATACATGCATATATATATATATATATATATATATATATATTATATATATATATATATATATATATATATATATATATATATATATATATATATATACGTATACATATATACATACACATACATATCACCCACACAAATACACACATCAATACATACTGACCAAGCAGCAAGTATACTTTAGTCCTAGACGTAGTCTGGAACAAAGGTAAACTCTATGTGGGAAAAACCTGCTGGGATTGATATAAGAGGAGACTACCAGGGACTTGTACTGAACTAAATTAAAAATTTACTGTCTGCAAATTAATTCAACTAAAATCTCTAGCTAGGGTTGTAAATCCTAGATCCTCTTTTCCTAATGACAAACTGTGGGCTGTAAGGGACAGGTGGGGTGAATGACTATGTTGATAGAAGTTCCAATCCACCTGTAGACAGGGATCTCACATCAGCTTGTATTTTATACAAGGATAAGATTTGATAAATTCAGTTATCTGACTGAACACTGGCTCTGTTTAAATCAGGGATTTAAACATACATAGTCTAACCTAGCACCATAACTTAACAGCCAATATGTTCTTATACTATAAACAACAAATTAAATTGTAAAAGTATAATAAATGACCTTAAATGTAGTCTTAATACTATTAACTAGAAATTATATTCAATTAAATGAACTTATATGATAACTTAAAAATTAACTAAGCAAGCAATTGATAACTTAATTTATATATTCAAATATATATGCAGACATATTCACTTTATACAGTTAGCTTGACTGAATCTCTTCCAAGACTGTGGACACTTGTGAGGTTTTTACTTATTGAGGCTGAATTCTTTTCTGACAGAATGGACACTCATGAGGTTCAGTGCTTGGATAAGATTCACAGCTACACTACAATTTTAATAAACTTACTGAAATGTGAGGCTTAGCCTCGCTTTTTAACCAACAGACAGATTTATAGGATATTAAAGTTACACAAGCATACAATTGGCCAATCATACACCAAATAACCCTCAATATACTTCTCTGCCAGTCGGGGTGCCTGTCTGACAAGTTTGCCAGACTGATTAACTCTCTTGTCGAGTTTAGGCACGATATTTTGCTACAGCGTTGCTGTATGATGATCTGGTAGCGTTGCTACGTGATTTTTCTTTAACTGCGTTGCAGAAGAATGATATGATAAAGATAAAGAATGAAGGTGGAGGAAACCGTGTCACCGTGATCTCCACTATACACTCTATTTTATGTGAATGTTCTAGGATTTTCCTTGTAGATATTGTCCAGGTACTCCCCCAGTTCTAGAGAGTATTCACTGGCGATAAAAATGTTAGATAAGGTGTCCTTGAGCTGGTAATGTTCGCTAAGGATCAGTCACTTGTTCACTCATTTGTAAACAAACGCGGAGTGCCGCGAGGCATCGTCGTGGGCGCTTCACGCCCCCCGAGAGCCTTCCCCCTCTCCCTTGAGAGGTAGCTTGCAATGAATATTGATTGATTATTTTTACAGTCTAGACTTATGATTAAGATAAGATGTGATTATAATATAATTAGATATAAGATTTAAAGATTATAAGTAGTATTTGAAAGTACCACTGATTCTTATTAAGGATTCGATTTTTAATCCTACCGGATGTTGAATCAATGTTCCAATAGTTTTTTAATTAAGAAGTCCTTCTAGAAGCTTCTGGATCCTTGAAAGATCATGTACAAAGTCACGTAGGCATCAAAAGGGCCCCTGTTGCGTACGTGTTCATGGTGCCATTGTCATCCAGGATCAAGCTATATAATGAATCTTTCATGATTCTAATATGATTTTGATACGATTTAGATATGATTTTGATATGATTTTGATATGATATAGAAATGATATAGTAATTATACATTTCTTAGATGATTATTAGATATGGTGGGTAAAAATTTCCCACATCTTCCAGAGGGAGAGAACTGGCACAGAGTCCAATACTTAGGACAATAGTAACCATATGTATTTATTTACTCTCCATTGGATTGATAATACAAGTGCAAATTTTGCTTGCACTTTTGTGCTGCTGTCCGTTGTGGACGATTGTGTCTGTTAGGAGTCTGTGGGTCTTGTGGAGTTAGAGTGTCTTGAGGTCTCTCAGGATCTAACTGCAGCTGGCTCACTGATTCCATGTGGATGAGTTTGTCCAATGTCTTCAGGGAAGTTGTTCCTTTAGACAGGATTTTGACTATTCTCAAAATCCCCTGACTATCTGGATGGACTGAGACAACTTTACCTAATGGCCAGTCAGCCCTAGGGCCATCACTGTCTACCAAGACAATATCGCCAGGTTGGAGATTAGCTATATTATGTGGGACATTGGCCCCATAGTGATGTTCTCGTAGAGATGTAAGATATTCTTTTGTCCAAACATCATTCCATTTTTGGATTATGCTGGACAGATGCTTATACCCCTGAACCAACTCGCTCTGACCCACATATGAGGGATCTCTGATCTCATCATCCACTAGAGATGGTACTGGAGTCAGAAGTCTTCCATACATTAGATGGGCAGGACTTAATGGCTCATGTTGAGTAGGATCCTCAGACAAGTAAGTCAACGGCCGGTTATTCACCCTTGATTCTATTTCCGTGATTACTGTCTGGAGTTCTTGAAGATTGATTTTCTGACGGTGTAGAGATTTTCTCAAGGATCTTTTTACAGTTCCTATTAACCGTTCATAAAAATCCTCCGTGCCATGGGGCTCTCGGAGGGATAAATTTCCATCTGCAATGACGCTGTTCCAGTGTGGAAGTAACTGCAGGATGGGAACAGATTTCCCGTAGACATGCTTCTCCAGCTACCAAGTTTGCTCCGTTATCTGAAATCATCAGCTTAGGGCATGATCGGCGTGCTGCGAATCTGCGGAAAGCTTGAATAAATGATTGAGCAGTCATATCGGGTGTTACCTCTAGATGTACTGCCCTGGTGGTAGCACAGGTGAACAGACAGATGTATGCCTTGATAGGTTGCTTATCTGCAGTCCCTGTTAGATATATTGCTCCTGTATAATCTACTCCTGTCGTTTCGAAAGGTTGTAGATGGACCACTCGTTCCTTTGGTAGGGGTGGTGGCCCTGGATAAGAGCAAGTTCTTGCATCGTACCTTCGGCATATCATGCAATTCTTCAAGATTGATTTGACTGACTGTCTTCCCTGAGGAATCCAGTACTGCTGTCTGATTTGTGTGAGTGTGTCTAACACTCCTCCATGTTTGATGATTTGTTGATGTGTATGCAACACAATCAACCTTGTGATCCAATGATTTTTTGGTAAAAGCCATGGATGCACGGTATCTAGATTGATATCTGCGTGTTTAAGTCTCCCTCCACAACGCAGAATGTTGTGATTTTCTTGGTCTATCCACAGACCGAGATTGTGTTTTAACTTATGCGGAAGATTTTCATAGTTATTCCCATAAGTTTCTCTCTGGGCTTGTCTTACCCAATAGATAAGTGCATCTGGAAAAGTGTATTTTATACCTTTTTTCCTGAGATAATGAAACACGTTCTGTGTTACATTGATTAATTTGATGAGCGAGGAGTAACGAGTACAATCCAAGACTGATATTTGAGCTTGCTGCCTGGTGGTAGTTATGGTTTGTGTCGTAATGACGTGTGGCTTTTGTTCAGGCCAACTACCATTCACTAACCATCGAGGCCCATGAAACCAAATATCTGCCTTTGCAAACTGTTTAAATGTCATACCTCTTGATAAGAGATCAGCTGGATTATCCTTTGTTGGTACATGCAACAATTGAAAGCCTGCGGAAATTTCTTTAATTTCCGAGACGCGATTTTTTACATATGGAGTTGGACAGTTGTCGTTTCGTACCCATTGTAAGACAGCTTCATTGTCAGACCATATAATGACATCTTTGATGTTCATGGTAGACAAGACTTGTTTGATATGCACTGCTAAGCGTGTGCCAGTTAGCAGTGCTGTTAGTTCCATCTGAGGCAAAGTCCTCTTTTTTAATGGAGCGACTCTGGCCTTAGAGGTGATAAGATATGATTGATTAGAAGTCACTAAGTAAGCACAAGCTCCAAAAGCTTTGGCTGACGAGTCTGCGAATACATGTAGTGATACTTCTCATTTTCCTCGACTATGTGTCTCGGAAAGATTATCTTTTCAACTAAAGTTTGTTCTTGAGCCACTT